ATAATTAGCTTTTTTTTTAAGGCAGAGTAATAGGTTAATAAGAAATATCAGATTACACTGGAACAAGCTCATGGGTCAAAAACTAGACAAAACATATCAAACTGAAAATAAGTGCTTGCTTGTCAGACACTGAAGGAGTTCCTATACAATAACTGCATTGTTTTAATGAAACATTAAAAACATCAGTTTTGAACCAAAATGTCCAAAAGAGGAAAGCATTCAAGTCACCAACAAAATTCACAAGCCATACAGTAAATAAATCAGGTTTGAATACAGCATCATAATTTCCTAATATTCTCCAAGCAATGCTGTGAAGCACAGTCCTGCCTTGTGCAAGTATAAATTCAGTCCTTACAGGAATTCCCTCTACTTTTCTGAAATTAAGGCACAAAAAATTAATAACATCTACAGTACAGATTAAGTGAAAAAAACAAATGGCATTGAGCTGAGGGCTGTGTTAAATTAGTATGGGTTTTTTTTAAACTATCTCTAAAGAAGCACCCTAACAGTAGATCCAGTTCACCTACAAAACAGAACTCAGAGTCAAGCCTGGTAAAGCATTAAAGCCACTGCCTAAATGTAAGCATGCAAAATACCCACATTATTTATTAGGGCAAACAGAACTAGTCCTGTGGCTAAAGCAAGGCATTTGCTTAAGTTCACCAGACTGGAGTTCATGACTTTACTGCACTGCTCGGGAAGGCTGGCAGCTCCTGGTGCTGGGGCAGCAGGAGGGCACTGCACCAGCGCAGGCAGCACAGCTGCACAGGCAGGGCATAGCAGCAAGCAGTTTTCTGCTCCAGCACTGCAGCACTCAGCCTGACCTACAGATTTGGCATGCTTCTGGTCTCAGGGAGCTCATCCGTCAGGCTGCGAGGCACGGGGGCCGAGGAGCAGCGTGGAGGAGCATTGGAGAACAAGCTCTCACACTCATCACAATGCAGCAAGCCACTGGGCAGACTCCTGCAACATCTCCAGCATTCACCTGATGATTTCTTTCTATCCCTGGAATTACCTGAAATTACAGGAGGTACTGTGTTACCCCCAGAGGTGACCTGCAACACCAGCAAAGGCTCTCCAATGGGAGCACAGAACCAATGTTAATGAGTTTATCAATGGATACCACCCGTAAGAAACCCATTCTTTGCACAACCTGATAGAAACCTGTATGTGCATGCAGCAACCTTCAGAACAACCTCAATCCATGATCTGACATGGTAACAGGGTGCTTTGTTTCCAGAAAAATGGCACGAATGTGCATATGAGAAGACAAGATCTGACAACACAGCCCCCGTGTTAGCGAGGTGGTCCAGGGCACTGGCCTCTGCTCCAGTGTAATATGAGTGGCACAGCCATGACATAAACGTGATTTATTTGTTGTTGCTATTACCTTGCCAAAGCAGATCAGCCTGAGGTTATCAAATCTCACCATACACAAAACTAAGCCTACTTTATGCGCTAGCACAAACTTTTTAATTCATACAGCCTTTCATGAATTAACATCTCCATTAGCAGTTTTCTTTAGCAGTTTTTGTCCCCCTGGATATTAGCCTAGCAGTAAATATAGCAGTCAAACAAAGGATGAAAAGGAACAACTTGCAAAGGAATGTATCCTAGTAAACTGCATGCAGTTCGAGACACACAAAATGAAACACAAAGAAGAACAAAAGCTTGCAAAAATGAATTTAAAACAAAGCAAGAGTGGTTACACTGGGAATTAAAGTGCACCAAAGATTTTTCTTATTACATTTCCTTATTACATTGTAGTTATTACAAATTATTATTTCTTTTTTAAATTTTTTATCACTTTCTTCTATTTTAAAAGAAGTTTTAATTTCCTCCAGAACACGTTTTGTCCTGGAGCAAATTTCAATGGTTTAGCTATAAATCCTGAAATTTAGGGGTTTATAATGGAAATGCTGGCAGGTCTGTATCTAACACATTGCAAGCATCTCAGCAACACAGTGTGTCAGCTGAGTGCAGCAGAAATCTTTATGGCACTAAGTAATGTCAGGAAGTCAGCAGAAGTGGCTAATGTGTAAACTGTGGCCCATGCCTGCTCAGTGCTTGAGATTGCAGCGCAGCTGGTACCTTCCAAAGGGCACCCTGAGTATGAGTCTCAGAACTTCATTGTTCAGGTTAACATGTGAGCTCCTCTTCCAGGTCACCTTTCCAACTTTCCCTTGCATCTAGATTTACACCAGACTCTTCAATACACAGTCTGCAGGCTGATTTACAAGTTTTCCACACTCAGTAGCCATATTAACATAGATCCTGCTCCTGGGTGTGTCACTTATTTCTGGGAACCGTTGAAATAAAGGCATTTTCTTTGTTTCTTCATGACTGTATGCTTTGCATAAAAGCTATAACTAGCAGCTTTCCATCTGTTTATGATCCAAGTTCTGACAACTTCAGAAGACAGCAGAGCTACTGAGAAAATACTAGTCTGTACATCCCACCTCAGACAGGTATCAATAAAACTTTATCCTGCAAACTTTGTTAATTCATGAGTTGTATAGAAGGACAGAAGCACTGATATTAGAGATGATTATGAGGTGACATGGTAGGATAGGCAGATGTTGCTCTGCAATGATATCAGTCTTGTGAGAAGAATAGCAGGGATCATTCTCCCCTTTTGTTATTTTTAAGGGTACCTTACCTTGTTTAACAGAGCATTCAAATGCAAATCACAACATTTAACATTACCACAGACCTTTACAAGAAAAAGAGGCACTGAATCGACAAAAGCTGCATGTTTTGTAGGAGTGGTGTCTTATAGCAAATGATGATGTTTTTGTAGTAATACTCATTCCAGCATTAAAGAACAAAAGATGCAAATGCGATGCAAGCTACAGCTTTCATGCAAATTGTCCCTGTAACCAAAATTCATTATCATGACAATATCACATCTGCAAGAACCAAAACTTTTACAACACTGCAAGAGTAAAACTTATATTTAAGTTCCTAAAGTTTTAGTACTAGTATTTGTTTTGGTACATGCTCCACGAAGTCTCTAGACTAAGAGGAAATTTTTCATATCAAAGAGGGAGTCGAATTTCTTATCCTTTTGAAGCCAAGCTCTGCAGCTCTGGAAAGCTGTTGTGCCTCTGTTATGAATGAAGGCAGATTAGAAACCCAAACCTTGGAGATCCTGGTGACTTCCTTAAAAAGACTAACAAGGCCAACATTCACCCACTGAAAACAAAGTTAACTGCCATTGTCTTAAGGAAACCTTGGGCCCCAGGATGTGTACTACATTAGCATCTCCTTCCATCAGTAGGAGATAATTCCAGTGACTTTGTAGTCATTCATTAGACTTTAAGTCTTTACAGCTCTTGGGATTTTGATGACCCTGACATGCAATAATACTCCCCATAGGTGAAGCATGTAGTTAAGAACTATAACTACCATTAAATAAAGAAAATTACTTGACCACATGGTGAGAATTAGGCAAGAACACCTCAAAGCCTTTCATTTTAGCCCTCTAAATGTAAGTGTTTACTAGTAACATTCAAGCTAGTCCAAACAGTCAGAGATGAATGTTTGAGTGCAAACCCCTGATACATCAAAGAATATGCATATGTGTTTAACTGTGCATCTGTTCAAAAAGTTGGGCCAATGTGGAAAATCCTATTATCAATTAAATAAAAAATTACAATGGGGACCTCTTCAGCTAATGTGAACCACTGTAATTCTATTGACAGCAACGGATCTGTCCTGACTTACACCAGCTGAGAATCTAATTTCATATGCCTCAGAAAACTGATGCAACCTTTTCCATAGCAGCTCAAGAGTCTTTATGCTCTCATGGGGATCAATTCCATCTAGTAGGTCAGCAGGTGTTGAGTTTGCTTTGAATCTGAAGTCCAGTCACACAAAAGGATACTGGGACATGTGCCATCTAATTTTTACTGACCCACGGAGATTCCCCTCCAGTACGGCTGTAAGAGTCATGCATTTTCTCCTGTAGTCTAGTGGGACATAACCTGTTTCTTTGAGAAAGCAGAAACCTTTATTCAAGATATCAAAGTGAGAACCTGACCTGGACCACAAGCCCAGATAAGCGAGCATGATGGAAGCAGAAAGTGCGAACAGAAAATGTTCTGCCAGAAATACACCAGGACCACAAAATATACAGAAAGGTATTTTCTGGTTTTAGCCATTACAAGACTAATTTGTAAAAAAACAGAAGTTAATCTGCAACTATCCAAAATCCATAGGTCTAAACTCTGCCCACACCATTTCAAGCAATTTTTTTTCCTAATGCAACAGGAGTTTTGCATTAGTAGGAACCAATATGCTCAGCCCTCCTACACCAAACAATGAAAAGGTCTAGGGCTGGGATTAGCTCACACTCTTCTGAGAGGCAGGGAATATGTAAAACTGTCAACTGAGATATCATCTCTGGGGAGAATTAAGCAAACTACTCCACTTTTGCAAATCTACAAGCTGTACATTCACAACTTTGAAATGAATCCACCAGAGGATACACACTTAGCTTGATGTTTTGTTCCAGGCATTAAGGAACTTGGGGGAGGTGGGACAGCCCTTTTGTGAGAAGGAAGTTTATTTGTAAAAGAAAAGAAAAAAAACCCCTTTGCCATTAATTTTGACAGACCTACTTCTGTCTCTATAGTAATAACTAATTACCTAACTAGTGTAAGACATTTCAATGACCAAATGCAAAGCACTTGCAGGCCCTGCCAGGCTAATCAAGCCAATTTCCAAAACGCCCAAACCAGGAACTTCCTATGATAAATAATTTAGCACATTTACATCTCAAATTAGAACATCTGGAAGAAAGAGACTATGCCTGATGCCAAAACAGGCCTTATTGTATCCTACCACTTTCCACTACCACCACCCCTCCTCCATTCATTTTCTTTAGCCTTTCTGTAGAACAAACACTGATCCAGGTGCAAATGCTCAATTCACAAGGAATGCAGTGAACATAAAATTACTGTAGGTTTGGCTGCTAGTAAATCCCTGCTGTTACTCACCATTGGAAGTTGTGCTGGAGGCAACAGCTTTCTCACTGACATCTGTTCGACTGGAGCATTTCACGATAGAATTCTCCACTTTTTTCTTCTCAGTTGTGGTAGAGCTATGGGACTGTGCCTCCATGATGACTTCTCATTACTTCAGCTCTCCTTGCACTAATACCTGAATGAAACAAGAGAGTCATAAACTCTAAAGACTGTTTGAAAGCTTAGCCCAAATCTTCTAACCCCTCTCACCTGAAGAAGAGCCTGGAGCACAATTGAATTAGCAGTTCACAGTTCTGTAAGCTCATCAAATCATGTTTGCATGCATGAATTCCTGAGGAATTTAAAGAAACACTAACACCAAAACTAGGCATGTTTGCCGTTGAAGAGAATCAGCATCATAAACCACTATGCTGTTTGATGGGTAGGTCCATTTTTTTTAATTCTGTGGGGTTTTAATGGAGCCAAGGGGAAAAAAAGGCCAGTATTTTTCTCTTCTGCCCAGAGAACTCTGGAACAAGGAAAAAAAAAAATAAATCAAGACAGACCTTCATGTTGACTCTAGAAGCCAAATATTTAAATTTCAACATTGATGGTGTGGAAACACTGCAGCAGGAATTATCCCATCTATCTCTACACCTTGTTACTCATGTAAACATCCCTCACTTTGTTTGTTCAGAAATCTAACTCAAACAAAATTGTATTGGCAAAACACCCCGAAACCACAGGGAAAGACAAATATTATTGCTGGTGGCAGATAATGAGATCACTTTCTTTTGCATGAAAACGCTGGAAATGAAAAGCTCTGCAGAGGTGTGTATCTGGTTATTTTGCCTTTCCTGGATGTTCTCAGTGTCCTCTCCAGTGATGCATTCATTTTATACCCCACCAATAATTTCTCCCTATTCTCAGATATTTCATATTCCTGATGGAAACACAAGAAGCGCAAAAATTTCCAAATGGGGAATCTCTGCTTGTGCATAAGTGCAGGCACACCAGGCCCCAAGACTTCTCCAGGCAGGGATCTTAGGCTGTGAAGGACACAAAAACGTTAAGCACTAGTCTGCAATTCAACTTAATGCACACCCATCTGTGCAAGTAAGCTTCACACAAATCATCAATATTCAGCACACATCATGCTTAGAACCTAATACCTTGCTACTTTTGCAGTTTGAAATTAATCTATGGAACAACAACAAAAAATAGTTTTCTGCTCTGAGCAACACTGCTTGGTAGTCAAATGGGTCTAAAATGGAAGGAAGTCACACTCTTCCAAGACACCATTTAAATAAAACTTAAGAAGGGCTTCAAAAAGCCACAAAGTATAATGAAGCATAATTTTATTAGCAGCCTGTTTCCCGAATTCTAACAGAGAAACAACACCAAACAAACAAAAATGTCTACAAAGCAAATTCATCACGAACACAGCTGTCTAGTAAACCTTCCCCTTCCCACCTTCCTAGTAGGAGTTCTTTTTAATAGTACAACAGAACACTCCAAAGCCTCATTGTTATACAGTAGGGATCAAAGTAGAACCCCATCACTAAATGAATCATTATTTAGCTAGGTAGCACAGCCAAGGAACTGGGCTAGATATCACATACTCTCTCCCACTGACCTACTGTCTAAGCTTTGGCAAGGCATTTTTCTTCCCTTGAGTTTCTTCCTTGCTAAAAACAGGAATAACAAAGTTCTGCCTACCATAGAAAAGCACTTCTAAGGCTACTCTTAAGATCTGTCTGTGAAAGTGCTATAAATATTATTGTGATCTGTGAAACAACTTCCTACCAGAACGCTACGGGGAATGTCAGGTGTCTTCAGAGAGTAGGAGAGATCTAACAATACTCAACTTGTAACAGCCCGAATTTTTACCCAGCAATGCACAAGTCTCCTTGAGGAGACATCTCACATGACCTTTGTAAACAGCACCTTTCCAAAGTTCTCATACGCTTTCTCCCTCTTTCCCTTTGCACACCTCATACAAGGGCATCCCCAGTCAGTTAGCTCAAATCTCTCTTGTCTCTCAGTCTCTTGCATTAGTAGAGGGGATGGGGGCTGGCACTGCTGCCAAGCTGTTTACCCCACACTGACAGGAACATGTTTGTTTTCTCTACACAGCCCTGGCCACATGAACACCAAAACCTGCCTCTACCCAGCCTCCAACCACTGCATGAGTGAGTCCTTCAATGTACCCTCCCATCCTCTGACTAACCACCTTTGAGTTAAAACTCTCTCAAATTAATGATTTTCTATGCCTCTCTGAAAGAACTAAAAAAAGCTATACATCTTCAGTCGTGGTTATTTTTCCTTCCATTGACTTCTAAGGGCCAAGATGGCCACTGAGATGGCATCTTCATTTACATCAAAGAGTATGACTTTGAAAACCTGGAAAACGAAGCTGCAGAACTCATCCCCCTTTTTGTTTGGTCCTTGGTTCACAAGCATGTTGATTTTGACTTAAAACCATGAAACGAAGCAATTATACTCCCTATTCAACTAGAAAGGAAGAAGCCACATACTCTGCCTCCACAAGGCCAGCAGAGTGACATGAAACATTTGGGGAGAGGTCACAAAAATGATGACAGGTATCTAAAGTGGTTCCACTGCCTCCTGCCACAGAGATGTCTATGCATGTATGTGTAAGGAGCCTTCATTTATCTCCACTTCCTCACTTATCTCCACCTCCTTCCCCTCTTCATCGTGATGGGACCTCCATCATAAACTGGTCCTATCACTTCTGAGAAAAGGAAGGTAATGCAGGTACTTTAAGGAGTAAAAGCCTTAATCTCATAAAAAGCATCTTTGGGTTATCTACAATTCAAGAGCAACATGTGGTCGGACTGACATAATTTATTCTCTTGGCTACTTTATTTCTTTCCCCAACAGCCTGCCATTGAGATTTTTCTGGTGCTTTGGAGTCATCTTCTTTACTGGAAAAGAGAATAGCAGACATAATTCAATAGTCTTCATCAGTATCTATCACTTCTCTGTTTTATGCTACCTGGTGTGGACCACAGTATGGAACAGAGGCCTAAAGCAGCACTTAAATTTTTGGACAGAGAATTGCAGAACTGGCCAAGACCTAATATAAACATCTGCTCTTGGTACTTTTTCTAGTTCATGTCTACTTAGTTTACCTTCAGAAGGTTGCTTTTATTCATGTCAGCATGAAAGAGGGAACACCACTAGAGTAAACTTTCTTATTCAGCTCTACACCCTGCACCATTAGCCAATGTCCCTGGTACTGCAGGCCTTTCCTCCTGTGCCTTCCTTCCTCTGCTCCCAACCCACATACACAACAAGGTGGCACGGACACCTGCAAGAATTCCTGCAGATCCAGCAAGCCCCCAGTGGTGCATCAATGGTGGCACGCGTGGTTGGGAAGGTATGGAAGGCCAGAAGAAATGCCAGGACTAATAATTAGAGGGAGGTGGTTTGCTATGTTCTGCCAAGCATGCCCTTCAGGGAAGTGGTCATCAGGAGATCAATATAGTACCCCAAAATTTATTTTTTGTTTTCCCCTGAAGACTACCTTAACACTAAATTGAAAACACAAGCCAGACACACATCTTCTAGAATCATTCTCCTTCAATTTGTCTGATTTTTATTTTCTCTCAGAAATTGTACTGAAATATGGGAGCTGCAGATCACCAAAAAAAAAAAAAAAAAAGTCCAAGGTTATGTAAAGATTTCTTTCCATTAATTGTTTATCCCTATCAAAAAGCATTCTAAAAATCAGCCAGCCTGACATTGTCTCCATATTAAAATACAAAGTGGCTTATATTAGAGTGTATGTGTGTCTCTCCAGCATGTGGGTCAGTGACTTTCCTGTTCCCGCCTCCAGGCCTGAAACAATCATCATCTATTCGCAGCAAGGAGTCCCACTTTCAAAAAACCTGAAAGCTAGTTTCATGGCTAGCCAGCATCTCCATGTGCATATGAATGGCAAGAAAATGCTATAACAGTACATGGGCAAAAGCCTGAACTTCCATAGGTAAATAGAGGGATAAACATTCCTTCCTGAAAGCAAACATTCATGGCTTTTTCCCATTCAACCATGCTTGAACCTTTTGTAATATCCCTGAAGCCTGCACAATTAATTCCAGATCCCCATTTTAAACCTAATCCCTCTCAAAACAGTAACCTGCCTGCAGGTGTGTCTCTTCTTTTTAAAATATAAATGTAAACCTTCCCCAAGTGCATATTATATTGGAGGAATTTTAGGAACAAGCTACTGGAATGAGGAGTTAAATGAGGAAAACTGTCCCTTTTAAAAGGAGTGTCAACAAATCACAATATGTTGGAAACTTATTTCAAACAAAAACATTCTTTCAAGTAACTTAATATTATGTAATTTCCGATCCTTATGTGTGTTGGTTATAAAACGGTGCCTTACAGTAGTAAAAATGATCATATTAATATACTGGAGAGGAAAAAACCCACATCTTTTTGCTCATTTACTCACAGTCCAAACTAACTAAAACCAGTGGAGCAGCCCTGTTCTTGGAAGAACGAGAAATTTGATGCTTTCTGAACATACATTTCAATTTTCCACGAAATCTTCACCCTGTATCAAATCTCCTCTCTGAACTACTTTTTAAATCATTTTATTTATATTGCATACATTAGTTTTAAAGACCAGACCATGCAAATAATTATTGTTAGGAATAGGCTCACTGACTTCAACAAGACTGCTTGCTTTGGTCAAAGTGCTTAAGTGTAAGCATTTAAAATTTTCAATTTGCATGTTAAGACTGGTTTATTTTTCTTGTGAACTTAAACCATCTGCCTTTCTTTTGTTTATTTTTATTTTTTGAGGGGTATCTTTTAACATGCTGAATTAAAAAAATAAAAAAGAACAAGTAAACCCTTTCCCTGTTTTACTTGATGCTGCCATAGCTGTATTCAATTCATTAACAAGTGGTTTGCATCCGCTGAGAAGAGCTGTCTGAAATAGCAGTGTCACAGCATTCATCATCATTACATCAGCAGTAGGGAAGTTCATACTGATTGCTATCAGGAACCAGAGTGCCCCAATCAGCGTGCAAGCAAACATAGCATGTTTAATTTCTCAGAAATGACTCTGGGTAGTTAGGGTGTTCATAGGTACTACTTTGATCCACACTACTGGAAGCAGTCTTTGGGGATACAATACATCTTGAACAGCTCAACTGTATG